TGCCCCATGGGACGTAGGAACTGCGTTGAATTAAACACAGCATAGTCAACCAACGTATTGAACATTATTTTGTCCACTTACGAAGCACGTTCTGCGGTAATCAGCGAGTCTGTTTATCATCCGGGCAAATGTCACTGGCTATCGGCGAACTGATTGACAGCTGATTGATTAGCTTACACTCGCTAAATGCATAACCGCGTAACGATGCTAGCTTTTTACTCGCATAGGGCAAAACTAAGGCAATGAAATAAAGCAGTGTACCTTGAGCATGATCTTTGAATGAATACCTACCTTTTGCAATTGGTTCTATGGACTCGATGGTGTTCGTTAATACGGGCTTAAATTAAAACAAAAGTATATATTTTTGTTTTTTTATTGCTTGTATGAGTGTAGGAACTCATAACCCACCTAGTGTTAACGGGTTACTGGAGTCCAAAGACATCTACAACGTCAATGCGCCACCCACCTTGAGATATAAGTTCTAAGGTCTCAAGTATAGTTACAATGGCTATCCCACCCTTCAAGCTGAAACGCATTACTGCTTCACGACAGAAATAGGCAGGGCGGTGGTACCTACCCGCGCGGACTCACAAGCGGTCCCTACGACCAATAATTACGCAAATTAGAATTTTGGGGGTTTGATTTTTATTACACGATGTTATTCCTTCACCGTGGAAGTCAATCATGAACATTTGTTGAGTACCTACGTATTTCATTAGAAAAATTGGTATCCGCCTGGTATTCGATCATCGGTGCATCACTCAACACCAATGCACCGTACGTCTTTTAGGCCACGACGACTTCAATATAAGTCGATAGAAGTAAGTTCGTAGTTTTTAGTTGGGATTAATAAAGAATCTCTGTTTTTTTTTTATTCGTAAAGGGACTATAGAATTTTTAAGACTTGTGCTCTTTATTGTCTAGCTCAAACGCAAACATCTCCTTACCGAGCACGCTGATTTACACAAAAATCTTAATTCCTGGCCGGTGAAAGTTCTATAATAATGATTCTAAACGTTTCTCCCAGTGACGGGTAACAATTACTAACAATTAAATATTAAAACACACAGAATCATTGCCTTGAACGAACGAATTAAAGTTTTATGGAACGTGTAATTACAGGCCTCGTTAACGATAGTCTCAATTGTTCGGATTAACACTAAAAAATAAATTAACTGCAGCGGTTCTTTTTTCGTGTTAATCGTATGTTATTTAAGAGCTCTAGTGGTTTAGCGAAATAATGAGCGAATTTCGCCGTGTAATCCTGGAATATTATGACTCAACTCAAAATCAAATACGTGTAAATTTTTGCATTGAATCCGACTCCCGCGACGAGCTCTTCTCATCCCAAATACCACAGTGCCTCAAGACGAAAGTCTTTGGCCGGATTGTGTGATTGGCAGAATTATTGACACTGAAACGTGCTCGCTGATAGTGGCACTCATCAGAAGGTCCTACGAAGACGCGCCGTAAGGCGTAGTTTCCCAGCGCGTTCAAAACAGCGATTCGATAGGAAAGGGTAGGAGAGATATAGCCCGAAAATATTTTAAAATGGCCACACAAAGAGGATATTGTACGTAGAATAAAAGATCGGAGCTGTAGAGCTACTCCCCCGTGGTTCGCTAATGGGCTGATGTGCCATGTCTGTCTCTGATGTCGATATCCGATCACTCTTAGATCAACGATTCCCAACCTTTGGTACGCGTACCAACTGATTTTTATAATTTTCCCATTGGTACATGTAAATTATAAAAATATAACTATACTGAGACCTTAGAACTTATATCATAAGGTGGGTGGCGAATTTACGTTGTAGATGTCCATGGGCTCCAGTAACCACTTAACACCAGGTGGGCTGTGAGCTCGTTCACCCATCTAAGCAATAAAAAAATATAAAAAAAGTCGGTAATAGCGGAAATACTGAGAAGATAAAACATTTAATTTATATAAACATCATTATAATTAATTATATCTACAATGTGTAGGTACTTTAAAATGAACCTTATAACTAATAACTTGCATAATAGAAACCGGCCGACCGATAGACCTTAAAAGAAACACTTTTAGGAATAGGTTAGTTTAATATTTAGTTAAGATTTATCACAGAAGCGGTACTCATGAACGAAAAGTTAAATTAAGTAGTATGAGAACAAAAAAAGGTTGGAAAGTAGATACCAAGTAGAAACTTTAAGTACCTATTCGCTGGTAGGTAGGTGAGCTTACGGGCTCAACCTAAGAGATTTATCTAGCCCTAACAATAGCAGTGCCGCGCTGAATCTACCACCGGATCGAAATCGCGACCCACTGGGAAGATTCAGCGAGAAACTCAGTGTAATATTGTATGCTATGTCCGCGTCTGGAAAGTTTCCGATGCCGGAAGGCACTAAGCCCATAGTCTAACTCTGTGACCTACCATAGCAAAACTTAACTAAAACACACTAATATGCATTAAAGAAATCACTTTTACTTGAGAATTCTGAAGCAATAAAAATATCATTAGAATTTCCATTCATAACTCATACTTACCTTTCATTGTATAGGTACGTTGTGTGTTATTTATGAAATTTACATGCGAACAAAGATTGTATTTGCATAAAGTTAATTGAGTCGAGAGCCCGCGATTAGCCAGCCATGTGTGGTACTTTCGAAACTCTCTTCATGGAAGTGGCAATTTCCATCGTGGATGGGTCACCAAGTTCATGTTAGCCAAACGTTTCGACTATAAGTCACCCTTAATACGACAACCACGACGAAGAAACAATGTCGAGTAGGGACAACTAATTCAATTTGAAGTCGTCGTGGCCTAAAGGATAAGATGTCCGGTGTAGGTGAGCTCACAGGCTCGACCTGGATCCGGCCAGAAACTCAATTTTAACAACATAAGTTCACGAATGAGCTCTACGATGAAAGAATAATATCGTCTAATTAAAATTAATCAATTAAGTTACTGGTGGTATATTACGTTGTGGATGTCTCTGGGATCTGGTAACCACTGAACATCAGGTGGGTCGCGACCTCGTACACGCGTATAATCAATTAAGTTAAATTACTAGAACATATGAACCGAAAACTTAAAGAAGTCCATTTGACAGTGTGGCAACTCAGGAGAGAAATTCCTAGCGCAGACGAATTAGGAGAGCTGGCCCCGATTAAAGTGGGATACGGAAAATAAGAAGAGAGTCATAATTACCCAAACACGAATAAAATCGAAAACGTTAAATTGTCTCATCGTTATGAAAATACGTCCGAGGTCACGTGCCACATGCATCCCCACTGCAAACGTCCTAGAGTTTACAAAAGGCAGGAACTCCCTCGCCCTTGCCACGTAATTTATCCCTGCGCCCTCGATTTGCAGGGTTACCATTATGACCCTGTCCACGAGCAAATAAGGGCAAGAACATAATTTAATAACTTCTTAAATTAACATTGCTTAGCATTGTTGTGAGTCTAGACGATGTTATTAAATAAATGAACTAACTACACGTGAAATGGCGCCCAAAATATCGAAAATCGTCTATTATAATAATAAAGAGGTAATAAAAAAGTTACAATTTCTGACATTTCTAATACTTAGTATAATCGATGGCAAAGGGTTGTGTGACTATTCAACCACCACTATTCTGCGACAACCTCCATGTTTTAAACATCAATAATAAGTCCAAGCCCAGCAAAAACTAGACTGATTGATTTTCAGCACAGTAAAACTGGTTCGAGCCACGTTCTATAATTATCAAGTAGATACACGGGTTGGTACCACCACCCTACCTATTTCTGCCATGAAGCAGTAATGCGTTTCGGTTTGAAGGGCGGAACAGCCGTTATACTGTAAAATTGAAACCTTAGAACTCATGTCTCAAGGTGGGTGACGTCATTTACGTTGTAGATGTCTATGGGCTCCGGTAACCACTTAACACCAGGGGGGCCGTGAGCTCGTTCACTGATCTAAGCAAAAAAAAACGCGCTTTACAATTCTTAGCATGAACCCGGAAGTAAGAATACGAGCGTTTTTTTTCGATAATCATAACCTGTCTTATTGTTTGCACTCTGATGTGTCGTAATACTAGATAAAACAAACAGAAACACGTCATTTAAAAATAAACGTAGGCATGTTTTTCTTATTGTAGGTATAAATACCTACAGCTACTGTCAATGATATAGTCTGTAGTAGAAACGAAAATCGCGCTAAAAAAGTGAAACGTAAAAATTATTCTTCTTCTCAGTCGTGTCACTCTCGACAGAGTGGGCGTGATCGTCATGTAGTGTTGGAAAGGGCAGACCTGATGTGTCTCACGATGTCGCGCCATCTCTCCCTGCTCGAGGCCATTCTACTGCACTCATTTAGGGGATCTCCCACTGCAGTTTTAATTTGGTCGGTCCACCGCATTATATTTTATGATTATATATTAGAAAATATTTGTTAATTGTAAATATATAATATATTTAATTCCCTATAAATACAACTTGTATAATAATTACCTTTTTTAATTACCATGGTCAGGCACTCTAAACCTACACTTTACGCTACAAGAATTTGACAGTTTGTACGCATTACCTTAGTTTAACGATTGTTTTTTGCTCAACTTAATAAGTCTAGTGATACCATTGTTGTCGAGTCGGTAACAACATCCAGGTTGTTGCTTTTGCGAGACAATGATTCGTTCCTGACATAAAGGTTAAATATCTGTTACGGCACTGCAATCAAGACTTTGCAGTCTCGAGGGGAGGCGGCGGAAACCACGTAATGGTATCCATACTCGCTACGATCACTGCAATCAAGACTTCGTCTGCAGGTCTCAAGGGGAATGTCCGCATATGTCACCTACGTCAATCATAACATAAAGCATTGAAAGACCTTGCTACATTTCGTGCCTTTTGCCCACTGAGTTTCGCTTACCTACTAGTTAAGGTTACGTTAAAATAGCCTCTCAAGGCTATCAGCTTAGGTAGGAAAAAAAAGGTGCTTTACATTGACGTTAAATAAAACCTATTTCATTTTTCAGGTAACTTAGTAACCGCTGTAGCTCTACTCATGCATCCGAAGCTAAGAGGCCACGTGACCACAATGTTCGTGCTCTCCCTCTGCCTCTCCGATCTACTCTTCTGCGCCATCAACCTGCCTCTAACAGCTAATAGGTTCATCAAGCAACACTGGAGTCTCGGGCCTCAGCTGTGTCAACTATTCGCGTTCATTTTTTATGGAAATGAAGCCGTGTCACTATTGTCCATGGTGGCTATCACTATTAACAGGTATGTTTATTTTATAAAGCAACTCATGGAAGAGAATCAGAGTACTGGTTTTTTTCTCTGACACAATCGTTAGTGGCCTAAGGGGCTATTCCAACTACGCGCACACTTGTAGATATACTCAGCTCAACGTGTGAATATTGCTTACACTGACTCTAGCAAGAGCAGTGCTTCGCTGAATTTAAAACAGAATCGGAATCGCGACCCTCTGGGAAAATCAAACTAATATTTGTACTAAACAAATGCGTTTTCTATGTATCTAAACATCAAGATAGTACAACAATGCGCCTGCTGTTCACTCCCAGAGATTGGCCTTCTTTCATTCAACAAGTGGTCCTAGATAGGTCTACAAATATTCAAGTGGATTCGAAGCTTTGAAGTTCGTGAAAACGATGTTGAAAGATACCTTTACGTAGATAGATATGTATGAATATACAGGGTAATCTAATAAAAAAAATCTGTCAAGAATATTATTGTCCGTCAACAGGGAAATACGAACCGTCGATTTAGAATATACGTAGACTCGGAGTTAAAAAGTTTAACCGTCTCAACGCTTTCGGGTTCTATTCGAAAGCTTTCGGTCGAAGCAGGAGGAGCCAACAATGCTTCAGAATTTCAAAAGCCAATTCTTCAAATATCTAAGAACACGCGTTTCTTGTTCAGTTTTGTTAGGCTGTTTGCGTATATACCGTCTTTTAAGCTTTATGATCTGTTACTGTTTCACGGAACACCGCTCAGTCAGTATAGACGGATTCGCTAATCTCTGTATACAGTTGGTCGGAATACTTTAAAAACGCCCCAAGTGAGGTTCTTGCAAATTTTCCTGGTCAAGTATTCCCGAGACTGTCGTCGGGGTTTTCTGGTGTTATGGCCAAACTATTGCACTTAAGATACGAAAGCTAAATCATCCTCCTGGCCTTGTCCCAGTCACCTGGGGCCGGCGCAACATGTTTTCTCCTTCCATAATACTTGTAGGGTGCAGTGTAAATTTGTTATTTAAAGATTATGTTGCTTAAAAATGTTTATTGTTAAAATATTAGGTAAATCAATGAAATGTTAAAGTTATGGAGGCACCCGGGTGACGCGGTTGTTGATCTTGCACTAACGATTTGTGGAAATAAAGTTAACGCGTCACACGAATTATGCTTACAAAGGTGTTCGGTAATACCTAATCACCGAACACTCCTCTATCATATACAATTTCTTCGCTCACTACCCTCTTAAAAATATCATATTTCACGCAATCCATCCATTTCTTCTTTGGCCTACCTCTTCCTCTATATCCTTGCACATTCATAGTTAACACTCTCTTACCAACCTCATTTTCATTTCGTCTCATCACATGTCCATACCATCTCAAACGCGCATTTCTCAACTTCTCGGTCACAGGTGCCACTTTCAGACTTCCTCTAACATATACACATAAGCACACATAAAATATACTCTAAGATACGAAAGCTAAAGAATCTTGAAAAAACCCTAAAAATCTTAGCACGTGGGCATTTCACGAATCAGCGTCGCCAACATCTGAGGCCTCTCTGATACTGCTCAGACCACAGCCGCACGTATTAATTTATTTAAGTTCTCAAGGGCACTGGAATGTATGTAGCTAAACTATGTGCAGTTATAAAACTGTCTGACCGCCCACTAAAAATACATATAAACTCGTGCTTATAAAAATATAATACGTGTCGTCGATCCTAAATTTGTTGAATATCTTTAATTTTTCAGTTTTAAGCATAGCTCGTTATCGTAGAGATGAAACTCAAATCGAACAAACTGTTATACCTCAAGATTCTTTTAGTTCTCTGTATGCGCGTAAGAATTGAAATATCAATGATGTTTTTACTAGAAAACCTATTTGAAATGTAAAAAAATAACGATGTGATATTTATTAATTATCCGAGTTTTTTGGACAGACTGACCTAGGTTGTTACGTACACTTTCTAGACTCTTCGAATACTACACAGCTTCTGTTCTGATGGATCGCTGACAATGGCAGCGACGGTTGTCCGTAAATATTTTTACGCTCAATAAATATTTTTATTCGGTCTTTATTTGAGAACTAAAGAATCTGCTAATAAAAAACGACGTTTATTTCCCACTTGGATTTTATTATTAAAACTTAACGATATAATATATAGTTTTATATCGATCTTTATCTACGGATTTAACACAGACGTTTTTACTGGTGGTAGGGGACCTCATGTGAGTCCGCACGGGTAGGCACCACCACCCTGCCTATTTCTGCCGTGAAGCAGTAATGCGTTTCGGCTTGAAAGACGGGGCAGCCGTTGTAACTATACTGAGAACTTATATCTCAAGGTGGGTGGCGCATTCACATTGTAAATGTCTATGGGTTCCAGTGACCACTTAACACCAAGTGGGCTGTGAGTTCGTGCACCCATCTATGCAAAAGAAAAAGACGTTAGCGGTGCACAAACACTTATACCGGTGACTAGTATGATAGCTTTTTTTTCCTACCTATGCTGATAGCCTTGAGAGGCTATTTCAGCATCACCCTAACATGTAGGTGAGCTCACGGGGAACGGTGACCGACGATAGCGTTGTTATAACGCAATTAAATCCTGAGATAGACACCATTTTCTAGAATTCATTATCAGGAAATCTTGAAATTTTCTCATCGAATGATCATTTTAGTATCCAGGCACGCAACTATGGTCTTGAGTGCTGCTACTACTTTCTTATCCACCGTCTGAAGCTGCAATACCATCTTAAGTTTACTAGATAGCATTGCAGGGCATTGCAGCCGGCATGATTAGGTACGACGAACCTGCCCCGTCTGGCCGCGTCTCAATAAATAATCCTCTAATAATAATAATAATCCTAATAATAATAATCTGATTAAAAAATAATAAGATATAATAATAAAAAAATGGAATAAATATTCCAGTTTGAAGACTAGGAAAGCCATTGTGCCAATGCAATTGAAGCTTCAATATGTACATCAATTCTCTAAGCATACGACACCTAATCAATGTCGGCTGGGCCCAGAAATCTTTTGCGTCTTTGAGCTAATAAAAAAACCGTAACATAAAAATCATTTACGATCATTTTTCACCATGTATCACCATAAAGATCATATTAAAACGATCATTCAATTAATTGATATTTGTTTTGTGTAATTGAATAATTTACTTTAAAAATCATCAAGATTGATGATCATCCCTTGAGATTAATCATAACGCAAATTGTTTTATTGATGTAACTATTTTTTGTTAATTGTATAGACGGGTGAACGAGCTCACGGTACATCTAGTGCGGTCTTTCCCAAAGTGGGCGATAACGCCCCCTTGTGGGCGCTGTAGGTCTAAAGGGGGGCGGTAAGAGACCCAAAATAAATGGGGGCGTTTTGTAGAGGCTTGGAAGACGATTTGTTATTTCATCTAGAAGGACTCTTAGACACCGACTGAGCTCTCGCTATAGTGGTATTTGAGTTAGTGGGGGCGCTAAAAAATTCTTTATTTTCAAAGTGGGCAGTAGACAAAATAAGTTTGGGAGACCCTGATCTAGTGTTAAGTGGCTACCTGCGATACAAGTACACAGGGCGTTTTTTTTTAAAATCCTATTCTAGTGACCTCAAAGGGTCATACTAGATTCACCGAGCAAATGCTCTCACGGGGCTCTAACCTGACGAATTTGCTAACACTAGCCCTAGAAAGAGCGGTGCTTTGCAGAATCTACCACCGGATCGGAAACGCGACCCACTGAGAAGATCCGGCGAGAAACTCAGTGGGCTATGTCGGAGGATGGCGTCCTATTTCTTAGGCTACGACGACTTAGAGTTCGTTTTTTTTATAGCTTATATGGGTGGGCGAGCTCAAAGCCCACCTGGTGTTGAATGGTTACTGGAGCCCATAGACATCTACAACGTAAATGCGCCACTGAAGCTGAGATATGAGTTCTAAGGTCTCAAGTATAGTTACAACGGCTATCCCACCCTTCAAACCGAAACGCATTACTGCTTGACGGCAGAAATAGGCAGTGTATGGTGAGTTGCGAAATTTAATCGTGATAATTCGTATGAACGTACAGCTAGCGCCATCTAGGCGACGATTTAGAGATACATTATTAGTATTTTTAATGCATCTTTATCTACGTAAAACACTACCACTTTAAATGTCTGGTCGTTACCAACTATGCACCCAATAAATAAGACAACCAACGCCATCTAGTTCATTTTTATTTATAACTCGAATTAAAGTCTTCATGGCACTTCATAGTACCTGATAAATCGATGCAAATATCACAGCTGTTGATATTTTTGTATATATAAGTTTAAACGATTAGCTCGTCTTTTATTTTGGCCACAAATGACGTCATACGTAACTGAATTGCTTTCAGTCAAGCTCTTTATTTAGCGCGGCTTTAAAAAAAGTATAGGTATCTGTCCGGTTTCCGACTACCTAATTGCAGGAATTGAGTTGAAACAATACGAGCAATCCATTAATCGAGCCCAAACGAAACTTTTCTCATTTTTGTTAGGTTCCGGGAACACAAACGTGAGACTAAAACAAAATGTTCAGACCATGAATTAAATGTATACGTACATTTAAATATAATAAAAAATATTAATATATAGAGAAACTGGTAGAAAAGAAAAAATGGATGGACTGCGTGAAAGACGATATGTTTCACAGGGGAGTCAGCAAAGAAACGGTATATGATAGAGGAATATAGAAGGAGAAAACATGTTGCGCCGACCCCAGGTGACCGGGACGCAGACAGGAGAATGATAATGATGACATTGAAATAAAAAATCATATTCCGACCGGAAGTCCGACCCGGCCCCGATAGATCCGTAATTAGGGTCACCAAAAAGCGGCCTCTCTTTTTTTTCCTACCTATTCAGCTTCGCCTTTACGTGTAGGTGAGCTCACGGCGCTCAAACCGGAAGTGTTGCTAACACTTGCCCTAGCCTAACAAGAGCAGGGCTTCGCAGAATCTACCACCAGATTGGACTCTCAGCAATGCATTCACAATATCATTTATATTTTCTCGCCGACGGAAGCCGCGAAATATAACATAAAACAAATAAAACATCGTGAAAAATGTAAATATACACAAACAACTTCTAACGCTAATAAAACATAAATCAAAATCATTAATGCGTGTCGTTGAGTATCCGTGAGTACAAGCGGAAACGTGCTTGCTCTCCGATGTGATTACGTTTGAATTTACAATGTTTTCTTTTTCGCTTTGATATAGAAACGGCGGCGCGGCGCGGGGCCTCTTGTGTGAATAAAGTAAACTTACATATAATTATATACTGCAAGATCTCTCTACAATACTCAGTAGATTCACGTTCGGAAGCGCTGGGCCGGAGCAAAACTAATAATGGAAGATTATTAACACTAATCACACCAACACTTACTGATACCTATTCCTACCATAGCGGGTAGATAAGGATTACTCAAAAAAAAAAAAAAATTGATGTGCGGTGTCATGGGACACCGGATAGGGACGAAGTTCCTTATTATAAAAATATTCATTTAAAGTTCTATTCGAGGTATAAAGAAAATAATTATTCGGGTATACCTAAATTTTTTATTATTATTTTTTTATTGATAAAAATAAAATAAAAAACTACTTTACAAAGTTATCAACTTTATTTTTTCACAATGATTTATAAAAAATATATAATAATAATATACAAAGAAACAGCTATTTATATGAATAATAATAATAACCGTCATCACGTAGACTATACATTAGACTCTGTATAGCCATCATATCCGGTCACCGTTCTCGTCGAACCCGTCGCTTGTGACGAAGGGCTCGACGAGCAAATTAACCCTCAGACACAGCCCACTGAGTTTCTCGCCGGATCTTCTCAGTGGGTCGCATTTCCGATCCGGTGGTAGATTCTGCGAAGTTCGGCT